ATTGGTACTAGTAGATGGAAATATTTATTTATTTATTTCAAATGGCAGGCGTTTTGATAGATATCATTAGCCATTTAGCTGACTTCGGGCTTCATAGAGGGAAGGTTAATCAAAGTGGAAGAAAGTCGAGGGGTGGGGAACAGAAGAACGATTCATAGATGCAAAAGAGACAAACAGATACAAAGGTAAAGGTAAGATGAGTTATGTGAAGGGGTCGAATATGACAAGCAGTCGGGCCATAGTAGTTTGATGCCAGAAGTCAACTGCCAGTCAATAGACTTTTTCGCCGTATAGGTATACGTTGCCCAGGGTGCATCACGTGGAGGTAAGTCTATCGCACACACCAGTAGATGGAAATTAATGACGGGGTAAATATGAAAGCCGCATTAAGACCCGGTGAAATCAATTAATTAATTAATTTAAATGGCTCCTTAGGCAGCGAGAGAGCAAATTCATTTTGCTTCAACAAAAAGGAGACGATAATTGTCATTAGCCCTTTAGTTGACTTTTGGCTTCACAGAGGGGGGAGGAACATCAATGTGACAAAAGTGGGGGGAGGGAGGGGTCAGAAGAGTGATCCACAGATATAAAAATGACAGACACAAAGACCGTGATTCAAGATGTAAAGAGAATTTCAAAGATGTAAAAGAACAGACAAAAAAGTGAGTGATTCAAAGATGTAAAAGAGACAGGCACAAAGGCAGGGGGGGGAACAGAAGAGTGTTTCATAGATGTAAAAGAGAGAGACACAAAGGCAGAGTGTTACAGAAGGTGAGGTGAGTACTGTGAAAGTAGTCGAATATGACAAGGTAAGGTGAGTACTGTGTAAGGGGTCGAATATGACAAGTTTGGGGGTCGTGGTAGTTTGAAGTCAGAAGTCAACTGCAGGTTAATAGACTTTTTTGCCATATGAGTATACGTTGCCCATAGTGCATGAGGTGGTGGTAGTTTGAAGTGAGAAGTCAACTGCCTGTCAATAGACTTTTTTGCCGTATGAATATACGTTGCCCAGGGTGCACCACGTGGAGGTAAGTCTATTGAAAAACGAATGCCGAGTGATAGAATTTTTGCCGTAAGAAAGTACGTTGCCCAGGGTGCACCACGTGGAGGTAAGTCTATCGTAGTTAACTGCCAGTTAATAGACTTTTTGCCGTATGAATATAGCGAAAGCCGAGTGATAGACTTTTTTGCCGTAAGAAAATACGCTGCCCAGGGTGCACCACGTGGAGGTAAGTCTATCGCACACAAACTTCCGGTTAATAGACTTTTTACCGTATGAGTATACGTTTCCCAGGGTGCACCACGTGGAGGTAAGTCTATCGCACACCCACCAGGGTGCACCACGTGGAGGTAAGTCTATCGCACACCCCTTTTGAAACGACATAGCATAGAAAATCTCATTCAAAATATTTTCTCAGTAATATTAAAAAAACTCTACTTCTTTACAAACAGATTTATATTCATAAATGTGATTTCTTAAAAATAATAATAATTCACTCTATCTCAAGAGTTAAAGTTTTTTTGTAATTTTGCGGTGGTGTAGCTAAAGACCTGCATATCCTCTGGCTAAATGCATTTTAATTATTCAAATATAAATATAAATATATATGCAAGCTTAAGCAACCGCACTCAGACGTAAAATTATAAAACTTTCAATAAGTTCAAAATGCGTGGAATATGGGCAAACCTTAGCCACAAAATTTTGAGTTAATCTTTTTTCACTTCAGATTACTAAAAGATCATTAACAATTCATGTACCCAGGTAACTTTGAACTATGTCTGAATCGACTCAAATTGGCTAAACTTTAAAGACCCGTTTCAATGGAGAACAATGTGGCGGTTTGAACCATCTTTCCAATTTAGAAAAAGCTAAATCCATTTAGATTTAATGACTATTACCTTTAATTTCAAGCTGTCTAATCTATAACGACGCAATTGATTAGAGATTTAAAATAGTTATTCAAATTTTCATGACCTAACTTTATTACTTGTTATCTTACTCTAAACGAAATTGTCCAAATTACCATTTATCAAAATTGCTGAAACATGATATATTTAATGCCAAAAAGCAATAACAGTCTAGAAGTATAGAAGAAAATTGGAACCAATTTCTTTCATAATAAAGAGCTTTGTAACAAGTATGATTTAATTTCAGCATTGTTGACTTGGTCATTATTACCTGCAAGTAGTGATCTACTTCTGAGTAGTTATCGCAAAACCACAAACCCAACGAAATGGACTTTTTTGCGTTAGACTGCTCAAATCACTGGCTCATTTTTAAATTAGACCACCCATTCAACGTATTTACTTTATCAGTAACTACGTGATTTTTGCATTTCAAACCAAACAAAACCTTACCGGAGTAGTGAAATTGGTGGAGGAGGAAAACAGTGCCATCCAACTGAAGAATATTGGGCTGAGATTTGGAGAAAGTAATGTTGTGAAGGAGTGGCCATTTGTGAAAAAGTTACCAAAGAGAAATAACGTCTTAATCCTATTTAAAGGGAATGCTATTTTACAGAAGTATTTTGCGCCCTATTTCTAAACCTTTAAAATCTAATAAAATTCCATTTTATGGCAAATACTTCATAGACAAACCATTGTTTAAACAACATTCATTCTCTATGAAGTCAAAATTGTTGCAGACAAATAGAAGTAGTCGGTGACAGAGTTCCCAATAGAAATATCGTCACGTGAAAGGTGGTGAGAACACAGAACATATTGAGGATAGGGACGATTGTTGGAAATATGGTGAACTACAAAAGATGATCAGTGACTAAATATCTTCAGCACTATATTAAGTGGATAAATATGAGACGTTTATTAGCTGAGAAAGTCTCTCTACTAGTGTGCACATGCCCACTTCGTGATCAATAACTTCGTGCGTTCTTTCCAGAAATTTCCAATTCAGTTGAGGTACCTCTGGCCAACCTTGATATCGTTGTAGATTCCTCTAGAAATCCCACACGAGAGTGTTCTAAAATAGATTAAAAGATGAATGAAACCCACGATCCCTTGTTACTTAATCGAGAATGAAGGTAATTCAACTGACACTAGTGCACAAAACTTGGGGGCACGATGTACAAGAAGGCTGAAAGATTGAATTTACAGTTTCTTGAATTAAAGACTGAGCAGAAAGAGAAAAAGAGTAGGCTTATCATCAAATGAGAACTGATAAAACGTTCATTTAGAGAAAGCAGTAAAATATTAAATCTGATACAATCATCTTAAATTTCGAAAAATGAGTTCTCCATACGAATTAGCATGCATTATTCCGAATCGCATACTGGATATTAGTTTGAAAAATAAATGGCCGTATTAATACAATTGGTTGTACTCTACACGGTGATGAAAGAAAATTTTAAAGCCATTCAAATGGTTAAAGCGAGTCGAAAGGCATTTACAAATATAGATAATTTATCATAATTCCAATCATCTTTATCATCTCCCAGAAAAATGATTACAATGGATTTATTATTTGTTTAAACTACAGATGGGTGCTACGTTTGAATGTAACCCATTTTTCAACCCGAACATTCGTTGTTAACAGGCGGACTTTTGCTAATTTCATAGTTTGTCTACCGTTTATTAGTTAAAATTTAGATTATTGATTGAATTTTGACTCCTAGAATATTGATCAATGCACAAACTGCATCCATGTTTTAAAAGAAATTATTAGAGTAAACTGCAAAAAAATTTACTTTCAGTAATCTCTACAAGCGCTCACGTCTTCTCGGGTATGACAGTGACGACGAATTTCTATTGGTTATTAATAATGTTTAAAAGAACTCAACAAAATCAAATGAGCACATACTCAATCGTGAGAAGTGACAGTAACTATGCACAATTTTCATATCTACCTGCTGCCCTTAATATTTTTCATGCACTTTGTCAACAGTTTTCGAGTCAGTGGTTTGGAGCCTAAAAGGCTTGACGTAGGCGATATGGACATTGATTTTATTCCGTACCTCTATCGGTTATACAAACGGATCCCGTTGCAACCAGAACTCGCAGAAGCAATGATACCGGAAGGTCCACTGATGACTGAAAGTGAAGTTGACAGGAGATCACCGCAATTTGCATGGCGACCCCATTCTAGATATGGACGTCGTTAAAAGAAGGATTTTTTCCAAAGACTTGGTCGTTTGTCCTTGTCATTTTCCCTCATTTCAACTGTTTTATGCATAGAAAGTCATATATCTGAAAGTAATTTGGTGTATCTAAAATAAAAAATAGATAATAACTACAAGTATTTAATGTATCATACGGTAGATGGAATTTATTTTTTATATTTATGGCATGAACAAATATATATATATATATACGAAAAAGGAAATTATTATTTTATAATAGGTATTATTCTAACAGCAGTGGGGACATTAGTAAGTATTTTTGAAATAATTGCGCTTTACATGAATTAAAGGATAGTTTTTCCTGTCTTAGAGCTGTTAAATGTTTGGCACATATTCGTATTCATTATAACTTAGAATTTTTAGAATATTCAACATGATCATAAGTGAAACCATAATAATAGTGTGCCACTTGAAGATAAATGACAAATGATTGTTAATGTCCTTGATTTATATCATATATTATTTATTTCAGTTTGTTCGACTAAAAATCCAAATTATTTAAAGTCGTCGTTTATGTTCAAGAGATGACGGGCGCATCAATAAGGTTGAGCGATTGGCTGATAAGTGAGGGGAGTGGTGTCGAAAAGCGATGGATAAATGGAAGTGGTGAATTGACTACCCACCACAGAAAATTATCGCAAAGATGCGAAATTTAAAGTTATCCAATTGGTTGAAGTTTATGGTCTATTAATTAAAACTGAATATGTACATCAGCTAAGTGTCACTTGCTGTGACAAAAAGGTCATTGAATCCAAAAATTAGCGCAGTGAGTTTGACATTAAAAAAACACTAACAAATAAATTTTGAGATAATTAATTGTAAGGGAGAAAATTATATATGCGATGAGCGATATTTAGGAATAATTACAATTTATGGACAATCTTGAAAAATTTC